GTTAATATTTTCAGTCCTCCTGCACCAGGCAACATCAGTGCCCCACGGTAAGTTTATATATCTTCACGTAGTAGTTAGTATAAATTTAAATACCCGTTTAATATGTTTACCAATACGATGCGTAAACATTTTAGAACCCACTTTATGTAGGATTGTGGCAATTCCCAATTGAAACAAGACAGGTGTGTTCCTGTGGCACCCGTGCATATTGATATTCATAAAACTTTGTAATGCACTACTTCAATATGTGTTAATATTTTCAGTCCTCCTGCACCAGGCAACAACAGTGCCCCACGGTAAGTTTATATATCTTTACATAGTAGTTAGTATAAATTTAAATACCCGTTTAATATGTTTGCCAATACGAAGCGTAAACAATAAAGCCCATTTTATGTTAGATTGTGGCAATTCCCAATTCAAAACCAGGTCATTTAATCTTTATTTTTCTAGAAATGTGTGCTATTTAAGCCTTCATTTATATTGATGCACTCATAGATTTGTTATGAATTGATGCAAATTGTTTCCATATTTCAGCTCAATGACAACAACCACCACCGAGAGTGATCAGGAGTAAATATACAAATACTTTATAAATTTGTTACTATAAATAGCGTATGGGGTACTGTCGCTTATTAGCACAGGGTGCTCTTTAGTTCGTCATTAGTAATTGTTTTTTCCCCGAGCTGGTTATGTTTGTTTGTCTTTTATCAATATGTACTCTGGAATATTTTACATGTACAAAAGGAACTTGGTTTTGAGGTACGTGATTTTTTGTTTTGTTTTATTATTTTAGCTTAATTTTTATTGCATGGCTTTTACTTTTTTTTTTCATTTAAGCTCGCGTTATTATCTAGTACGTTTTGAAATTTTATTGCATTTTTATTTTAGGACGATATTGGTTTATTTTGTTTAAATTTTATCGCACGTACACTGTTTATTAAATTCGTTATAAATACGAAACCAGTCTCTTTCGTCATGCAGGTGTGGTATTCTGAAAACTTATAAATTTCTTATTTAAATTACATTATTACAGAGGCTAGGTGTGCACCCATCTATTTTCATTTATAGATTTGATACGAATGGATGCAACATATGTGCCTACATTTCAATTCCCTTATTGTGTCATGTTGCACTTTTGTCACTCTTTTTCGCATTATACGTGCCTTATGGTGGAATTGATGATATTCGGACTTTTTACAGACATGTTCCTTTTTTTTTCAGACGTGGTGCAGTAGGAGGAAATACACAAAATCGGACATCTGCCAACGATCCCTAGAATAGTGAATGATAACTCCGCTAAAAACCTAAAACCTAGGATATGTGACAGTGAGTGTACACCGCATTCATCAGACTTGAACCCCCCCCCCCAGATTTTTAATTTATGTGGTATCTCAAGGATAGTGTTACCATGTACTAGAACAAACTCCAACAAATGATGTACAGAAAGCAGAAATACAGCAAAAATCAGGGAAATCCCGAAAGAAGAAAGTGTTTAAAAATTGACGATTTCTTGCGGCGTCTTCAAGTGTGCTTCCATTGTGCTGTCATTTAGAGCATATTTTTAAAAACAATATAACTTTTGTTCAAAGTAATCCAGATAATTGAAACTTTGGGGAATGGTCATGCATATAATTAAGGTGAAATGCAGTAAATTTCTTGAAATTTGGTGCACCTTTGTAGGATTTACTAAATTTTTTATGGTTTCCATTTTGATTTTTTGAGTTTCCCTGTGCTTTGTTCAAATTAGGCTACTGCTTTCTTCTTTATGTATCTATAGTGTTGTTTTAAGTTTTTAGTGTATATTTTTTTCTGTTAATTAGAGTTAAAAAACAAAAAACGAGTATACAGGGTAGAATTTCATTGTGTATATATACTTTTTAAAAAGGGGTCATCAGAATACTGCAGATTTATCCAATCACTCCCTGGACTCTCCTGGGATGTTTTACATGTACAAAGGGAACTTTGTTTTGAGGCACGTGATATTATGTTTTGCTTTAAATTTAATTGCATGGCTTTAAATTTTTCTTCTTTTAAGCTTGCGTTATTATCTAGTACGTTTTGAAATTTTCATGGCCAGAAATGCGCAGCATTCACGCGATACGCGAGGGCGCTACAGTAGTTCACTTGACTCAACTAGCCAATCACAGCACAACAATGGCATCGCACACAGACTCTGTGATAAGTGCTCAGCCCATTGTCAAGTAGTGTTAGTTCATGGTAACAAGCGTCTGACATGTGCAGAGAAGTTTATTGTAATATATATTGATCTTATTGTTACATTATTAAATCTAACTCTGTATCCAAGTAGTAACTATAGTGTACCAAGTCAGGTACTGATGATGTGCAGAGGTCATATATTCCAGAATAAGCCATTACCACTAATTTATAACTTTAATTTTGTTTAATATGTTATTCATGAAAGAGTTCATGAAAGATTATTTTAATTTATTAAATCGTGATCTTATTCTTTTTATATTCAAATAATTGAATAACGTGTGTAAAATTGGTCTTCCACTTCTTATTTGCATTTTTCCTTTACTACAAGATTATTTTGGAACAGTTGCAGCATTAAAATTTAAAATAAATAGCAATCTGAAAGAAGAATTTTGCATTATTATTAAATGATGATAGGAATTTTGGATTAAGAGATTAGTTAAATACTGAGTAGTGATATTGTCTGTCAATTTATGTAGAATCTGATAATATGATTGAAAATACTGATTAAATTCTTGGCCTTGCACTGGGCAGTTTCACATTTGTGCCAAGTGCTTTTTTTTTGGACTCCATTGTACAGTGGTAAAAGTTCTTCAATTGCCATGAAAGTTTTTAATCAGACTCTGTATGGTGCTGTTATCTGCTGGTGCTATCGGCAACGAATTAGTTTAATATGTGCGTTTTGCTGAGGGTAGGCTAGGCAAAAAACGGCAAACTTCTAAGTACGTGTGTACAACAGATTGTTTTAAAAAAACCTAGCGATATTTGGTCAGGAGTTGCTTGAAGCATAGCACAGCGTTGCTGTCTATCGGCATCAGACCGTTAGTTTGTCAATTATCACGAATTACCCACGAATCGCGAACCCATTCATTTTCCTATGGCAATCTAGCAACTCATTAAAAGTGCACGCATGCGCAGAGGGCTAAGCGTGACGTCATGCAGTGCATTTCTGGGGATGTATTGTATTTTATTTGAGGACGATATTGGTTTATCTTGTTAAATTTTATCGCACGTACAGTGTGCTGTGCACATAAAGATTTTATTAAATTCGATATAAATACGAAACCAATGTCTTACGTCATGCAAGTGTGGTATTCTAAAGACTTTTAAATTTCTTATTTAAATTAAATTACAGAGGCTAGATGTGCACCTTTTACATCCATTTTTTTCATTCACAGATTTGATATGGATGAATGCAACATATGTGCCTACAATTCAATTCGCTTTTCGTGTCATGGTACTCTTTTGTCACTTTTGTCACTTTGTGCTTTTTCGCATTATACGTGCTTCTTAATGGAATTGGTAATATTTGGACTTTTTATAGACATGTTTTGGTTAAAGGTAGTTGAGGTATGTTACTGATTCCTATAATCATATTTGCTGTTGTTTAACCAAAAACCTGTTTCTTGAAAATACAGATTAAAAATTATTTCCGTCCTGGGTTTTGTCAAAAGTTGAAACCATGCTAAAGTTTTTTAAGACAAACTAAAAGCCATATACTCGTACATGTGGTTTATTTATGGATCGTATACAACACCTGGATCTTCCAGTGACTTACAAAGCAGCCACATGAAACACAATATACAAACGACAATGTTTGTAAGTGCATTGATAATCAGTATACATTTATAGTTTTAACATTGTACAATTAATTTGATTTTGTATGGCAACTACAAACAATATCAATACAGACGGCGGGTTGCTGGAGGTAAAACGTATAGTAGGGCTAGTTGTCTTGACCAAGAGTGTACTGATATTGTCATTATTCTTTAAGGCCTATGGATGTTCGGCATAGACAAATATATTAGAATGTATAAGATACAATATAGAAAACAAAGCTATATTATTAAAAAACTTTATTAACGTGTATACTGGGCTATATTACATGTATATCGCTCCATTAATTGAATCGAAATCTAAAATGATAGTAATGAAGATGTTTTACTAGTTTTTAAATCCTAGGTCACACTGCGCTTGTGACCTTTGGCTACTTTTTAACAGTCTCAGTCACAGGAATGATGTCATACATGTAGGTTTTAAAGTGGTCGTATAAGATTGCTATCAGGTTGCAAGTGAGGGTTGGTACTTCCGTTCTTAGGACTACCATTAATATTCCTGTCACTCCTTGCGACAACATGCCGCTAGATAGTTGCATGCGCAGTATGGCCCAGGCTTTAGATAAATCAGTTCATTGGTTTGCTTTCTGTATAGTTTTCAGTCATATACTCATTAAGCTCTTTAGCGTGAGTCTAAATTATTGTACCATGCATTATCCTTTGTCTTTTATCTAATTATTCATTTTGTGTGTGTGACTTGTAATTTCAATTGGAGTCTTGTTAAATAAATGATCGAGTTGTCATATTTGTTGTTTTATATTTGTATTTTGTGGTAATCTCATTTCAACTATCTTCCAGGAACGCCACACTTTAATTTTAAACATTTTTGCAAAGGTATTCGTTTAACAAATAAGTGACAACTTGAAATGAATTAAATATGAATATACTGAAAACAATAAGTAGAATCGCTGACTCGTTTCCTTTTATTCCAGTATAGACAATGGCTATTTAATTTGAAATTCGGCTGTTGGGTTCATTTCATATGCCATAGTAAAAATTGTTTCATTAAGTGTTTTTAACATATGAAAAATAATAAATGATGAATAAGTGCATCCTTGCTGCGACATGGAAGTCGCAATACAATGATAACGAATTTTATAAGTATAGGCTACAGTTTGTGAACAATTTTCTTTAATGGGCAGATGTTGGGATGAGCCGTTGGATGCCACTCTAGCCAATAATATTTCCTATGGAAAATGTGTCCCCGTCCTCACACATGGAGTTCCATGCCAGGAGATGACCCACGGGAGATGGCACCAGGGTGCAGCACAGTCTCTGGGACAACGGATACGTCACAACCTCGTTGCCACAGGCATGGGGATCGTAAGTGATAGCTATTGTTCGTCCTGGCGAATCGATTTCCCGGCGAAGCTTGTCACACATGTTCTGGCCCAACGTTGTATTTGTTAATCTCCCAAACACCTCACCTGCCACTTTCATTCCCAGTTTCTCTTTACCAAGAATTAGGCGGGTCATGCGCACACAATCGCGTGGACAGTTCTGGAACACTTTCACGCAATCAACGTCACTCGCAGCCGCCGGATATCCTGTCGTCTGCCTCTTATGGGTTGCATAGAAATTGGGGAATCTATTCAGAACAGAATAGACAGACTGACCGCCGTCGTCTGAGGCCCAGAGCTGTGTTTCTCCGTAAATCAGTGTGGTTAAATCGTAGAGATGTGTGCCAAGGCCCGTGTGGGGTGGTTCAGCGCGCAGACGACATTCGCAACTAAAAATATGGTATTCATCACAATTTTATCATAAAGAAATTTATGGTGATAAATTCCTTCTTAAAAGCTTAAATCAGGACTTAGATTTTTTTCGAATATTTTGTTGAAATTTTAGGCACTTCCAATATTCATTCATAAGCACGTCATATCTGGGCAAATTTCAGCATCCAAGGCTTGGGCGAATTGATAGTGGTTAATGGAAACATGAATCACTAGAAATATATCGATGTTTTGGAGTCAGGCTTGCTACCATCTATTACTAACATGTTTGGTGACAGGAATTATCCATTTGTTAACCAGGATGACAATGCTCCTTGTCACAGGCCCAGAGCAGTTGATGATTGGTTTGACCAACAGGACATTCGCAGGGTGATGTGGCCTGCCCAGAGTCCAGATGCAAACATAATAGAAAATGTGTGGAATGATATGTCAAAACTTTTTACAAATGCCCGTCTAACCAGCAGAGAAACTCTGTTATATTCAGTGTTTCATGCTTGGGCCAGCATAAGCCCTGAACGCATCAGACAATTATATGAAACCTTGCTTCGTAGACTGGCACCTATTATTAGGTCACGTGGCTATGCCACTAAGTACTAATTTTGGACTTGAAACTGCATATTTTGGTAGAATGTATATTTTGTTCTCATTTTGTGATTTTTGTGAAATTTGATACCAGGAGCATATCATTCCACAGTAATTTATCTCCCCCATAGTATTGGCTCAGTAGGGGTGACACTTCTTTTGTCCAGTGTGTATATATATATATATATATATATATATATATATATATATATATATATATATATATATATATATATATACACACGTTTTTTGTGTGATACTTACGTTTTAGTTGTGTATTTGGACATATACTCTGTAAAAGTAAATAGTTGGATTAAGCTCGAATGTAGAAAATAAAAAAAAAGAAATCAAGCTTTAATTGAATGTTTAGTCATATCTCAGCTATCATTAACAACAGAGAAAAAAATTCAGTTAAGAGATGGAAAGTAAACCTTTCAAACGTGGAACAATTTCGGCTCCAAAGTGTCCTAGTGATGCCGAGTTGATCTCAGGTAATATTTTATGGTAGGGAAAACATTAAGAGCCGAAAACACTTGAAAAACACTAGATATAGGCAGCAGTTACCAAGGCAAGTATGACCATCAGAGTCCAGTTTGTATCCGGGGCGACAGGAGCAAGAATAGGAGCCCTGGGAATTGGTGCAGTAATGGTCGCAGCCGCCATTTCCAATATGACACTCGTTCACATCTTAAATAAACAGTGTTTTTATAAACATATATTTCTCGATTCATTTATGATATGTAATGTCCGCGATAAACATTTTATTAATTTGATTTAACTTTAAGCATATTCTCATGACAGTATATATACCGTGTATATCTCTCACTGGAGATTTTTACATGATATTATTTTATAAACAGTATAACGAATGTACATGTACCTTTTGGCAGAAAATGGGACAGGCGTTTTTTCTGGATAATCTGTAGCTTATGATCTAATGTTTGTTGCCCTTCTTACACATATTTTAAACAAAGACCTGAACGACGTACCTTGACAGGTATGCAAGTCACTCCCCAGAGTATAACCCGTTGGACACGAACAGCGGTAAGATCCCTCAGTGTTGGAACAGGTGTGGGAGCAGTTTCCCTTGTTCAGGGTGCATTCATCATTATCTGTAACGGGAGAAGAATTAAATGGTTGATTTTTTATATACTAGTGCTTCTAATGATAAAACAGAGATTCAAATTCGAAGAAACCGTTTCCAGCTTATAACGGGGTGCTAAATAGGAGAAAAAACGGCTCATTTTCATCGTTATCCGTAACTAAAGAACGATAGCAATTCTCGTCAAAACAACTTAATATGTAAAAGGAAAAATAACATTAACATTAAAATGAAATATTAAATTCAACATAATTACTGTCTTGCGTATAATTACAGGAGGTAGTCAAAGGGAGAACGATTTCAGTGCAAATGAACTTTTAACTTCTAGTATTACACCACCCACCTGTACATGTAAACCCGTTGATGTCCAGGGTGAACCCTGTCCTGCAGGAACACTGGAAACCACCCATTGTGTTAGAACACACGTGATCACATCCTCCATTGAAACTACTGCACTCATCTACGTCTGAAATAGATTTATCAATAAATGTATCGTTATATAGATCGATCAATCGGATTATCAAGAAAACAATAAAAATATATAGATAGATAGGGGAAAAGGCTTTGCCAAGGAATATCAAATAGAAAATGAAAGAAAGAAGAACAAAAAAGTTAATGGCTTGATCGACATGTAAGATATAATAAACGCAACAAAACTGTTATATAAGGTTGTGCATAAAATATAATGCTGTAATTTCCCTTAGCTACAGAGCAAGGCCTTATTTAACGGTTTTCTCAAGGTACGGTATGTCACACGGGGCCATTTAGAGACCTAGCTTACCCAAACAACCGAACTTGTCGCCTGCGAGCACATATCCATCTCTGCATGAACATACAGCTTGTTCTCCAATTGCCGTGCAGCTATGAGCGCAGTTACCATTGTTAAACGTACATGCGTCCTTTGCTAAACGAGAGAAAAGGGATATTAATTCAACTTTAACGCCAAGATATTTACGAACGCTGAATAAGTAGCAAAAGTTATGGAGTGAGCAATGAATCCATAATGTCCACCCACCGCTATTTAAACTTTTAATAAAAAAAAATGCAAAATGACATTGGCAAAAACCATTGCTCTTAATGAGGCGGAGAATGAACGTATAGTAGTATACCACGTATGAATGTGCCAATAGACCTACCGGTACATGTACATGTACATGTAGTCCAACAACACTATGTATACTGTGTATAATGTCAAGCATGGGTATTTTTTCAAGTGTCATAAATTGCTCACCTCCGGAACACTGCAGTTTCCCAAGAGTAACGACTGACTGCTCGGAACTATCGTCCAGGTCGTATATGTGAAGGCTTGACACCGGGAGGTACGCGCTGTCTTCAAGATAACCGGAATCACTTCGCCAGACTCCGTCGTTTGAATTGCAGTTGCACTGCCTGAAACGATTTTAAGGCGATAAATACATGTTTATCAAGTATTCTACAAGTAGTCACGGTGCAAACCGGTGGTATATTGCATTTTTGTGATTTATGCGAACCGATTATCGATTATAATTATAATTATCAATTATCGATGGCATAAAAAGATGACGAGCTATATCGAGTTTTTTATTCCTGGGTCACACACACGCGCGCTCGCATGTGCTTCACCTGCATGCATATATATTTAAGCATATTTCTATGAAATTCTGTATATTACCAAGTTAGTGAGAACAACGTAAAATAACACAAAGAAACAAATACCTTCCTCCAGCACAATTTTTCGACAATGCGCAGGCGCACTTGGAGCTGTTTGTAGGCGCGCCGCCCCAGTTAGCCATGTCGTATCCCTGTCTCGACTTCCACCAGTACTGGCCACTGAACGTTGACATCTCATAGCACCGGACAGAGACATACTGCCTACACTGGCCAGCTGTGGTCACTAGAGCTTCTATTTGGTCGTTAGACACTGGGTAATTTACGTTAAGGTACCGGTCGATGTTCCCTGGTCCCTTGAGGGTGGTGTCTTTGGCCAGGTTATGGTCTACGATATGCAAAATTAGAAGTTTGAATTCTCGCATCTTAGAGAGTTGACTATTTTCTTTCCGCGCCCCCTTTTTTTTTTTTTTTTTTTTTTTTTTTTTTTTTTTTTTTTTTCAATACCATTTCTGCAACCTTAACACTTTTTCAATGGTGGAAAACTTAAACTTTACCTTTACAAGTCAACGATGGAAACGATTATTTTTTTCTATTCCTTTTTACGGCATGCTCAACAATCACATTTAAATTGTCTGTCAAATTGTTTTCCAAACATACCTTATCGAGTTAAAAGTTTATATAAGTCGAGTACAGATGCACATTTTATTTACGCAGATTCCCTGTGGGATCCAGGACTTTTCTGAGGGGGTGGGAGTTGGGAGGTGGTGTCGTAGGGATAGGAGAGGAGGCTTAAGGATAAAAACAGTAAACAATTTAGGACAGTTTAATAATTACATGTACTATGTAACTACAATGCACCGGGATGGATGTCTTGGTTTCATCTTTTTGAATACTGTCTCTTTTGTTCTTTGGGAGTTGGGATTGAGAGTGGGAGGCGGAAAAGCATCTCAAAATCTAAGGGAGGGGAGCATGTGCCCCTTTGTCTTTCTTTCTGGATACGTCATTTTAATAGGAATCTAACTGCCAGTCGCTTAATATCATCCACTTGCCAAGTTCGGTCCACATTTCCTGGTTAATAAGAATGCAGTTTACTGTGAAGGGCTGGATACGACCATCTCCGTCCGGATCAATAACTGTGGATCCCTCTTGTTGCACGTCTTTGCATGTCTTTGGGTTCTTAGGTAGGGGGCTGAAGGGCAGCGTGCCTAATAGCGAACAAAAAGTGATTTAAAAACATCATACTAAATCCTTAAATTAGAACTTTTATATTCTGATTTTAATGATAAATAGTAATTAAATTGCAGTACTGCTTTTAAAATAGGCTATTTGACTGGTGACCTTAAAGTCAACGCATTTTGATGATCTGTTTTTGCTTGCCTTCAGGTCATGTTGACCTGGGAACGACTCCATATGACACCATCTTTGGCATCCCATCAAATTAAGTGTCACGTCCCGCTAGCTAATCAGCGTTAAACTGATTACCGACCGGCTATGGTGTCATGTTGTCATTCGTGCTATTTCAAGCAGCCTTGTCCTTCGCAATAAAAATTTCAATAAAATGTTATATAAACCCATAATCACAGATGTACATTCCAAAAGATGGGGTCGCCCCCGCCGTCTTTAACCATAGGTAGAGTCCCAGCAATGACGGTAGATAGTAACTCACTGTTAACACAATCAGGCGTCACGCCGTCCCAAATGGCGACACTTCTTCCCGGGAGACGAACACAGAACATGTGTTTGGCGATGGCTCCATCAGCGAATGTAAAGCCATGGTTACACTCCACCAGGCCGTATTTCCCGGCCTCCGTCTCCGGCAGCGGCTTGCCGTTGTGTATGTACAGCGACCGGCATCTCGGCAGAGCTGTTTGAAAATGTTGAAACGATAGGATAATAAACAATCAAATGATAATTTATTACGGTAGTGGTTTATCTTTGGTTGAATCAATATCCTCTATGTTGTTTAAACTTGCCACAGTTTTGATATTCTTACGTTGACATAACCCTATATCCCGTTACATTGTTGAATGTTATGTCCTTATGAAACTTAACACAAATGTATTTATTCGTCTTTTCAAAAAAAGGGATTTGCATGTCGTTTATTCATTTTACTCATTCATTTACTTACTTAATTTTTATCCTGAATATTCTGCTATCCATATGATGTATTAAGTCAATAGTAACAATTGCAACAACGAATGCCGTATAATGTGTCCAGATATATAAGATATACAGCTATATTTTACTTACTTTGAGCTCGGGCGCTGTGAGCAAATGCCCCAATGCCAAGTATTAGGATGACAACAGCTGGTAGTTGTCCCATCTTCTTGAATAATCTGTTTTACAACCCGGTGGAGTTAGGGTCTTATACAGCGTTGGCGTGACGTCACTGGGGGGTGTTCAGAACCGTACAGTGTATTAGCCATGGAAAGTTGTGATCTCATACACACACGTGCGCACGCAAGCACTCACTCACACTTGAAAAGATTTGCTCAGTCCGAGATCCGCTGTAAGAACAGCTTGATTATTTGATGGCATGAGTTAGATTCTTTCGGAAGTGAATGCGTTGGGAGATATTATCATCATAACTCCAGTTCAATCCCTCCAGCTGCCGCTGTTTCGTTGACGGGGTTGATTCAGTCACTAAATTTTGCAAAGGGCGGGGATAGGGATCGGTCTGTATAATTTATTTGGTGTATGAAATGTCTACGGCTGTCAACCGACTAGTTATTCTGAAGTTGGACCATCAAGTTCGCAAAGCCTGCTGCGTAGAGCTATAGGCTCCCCGGCCAATCCCTGTCCTATTCCAGATTTTGCAGTTTGATGATCATTTTTAGAACACAAGTACTTGGCTGTAAGATATTACAGTTACAGGCATATCACGCCTTTCACCCACGGGGTCAAAGTTTTGATAATGAGATTAGCCTGAATCACAGACAATCACATCATTTCTCGCTAGTCAGTACCTAAATATACAAGGTAGGTTTGGCAGAAAAAACGGGCACACGAAGACATGCGCGAACAAACACATGCCTATTTACTAGTACACCCACACATGCGTACGTGTATATACACGCATGTGCACGCATCTAAACCCCATACACACGCCTACATCTACTTTCAAACGCGAACACGTGCTAAAACACACACGACGCCATATTTTGCTTAAATAACACAAACCTCGTCAATAACTTTTCAATTAAATGCATACAAGGATGAGATGTCGCCATGCTTGTCTCATTGAGCGTATTCTCGGAATATCAAGGTGTTCTCATTTTGTTTGACAGAGCCAGTGGTAAAACTATAGATGGCAATGGAGTGCGCAGAAATGCAGCCAATAAATTGCAGTTACATATTGTTGTAGCTGTTGAAAAGGCTTGTCTCAGCAAACACAACAGAGTGTCTTCTTGTTGCCGTAGAACCAGGGCAAAAACTCAATATATACCAAATTGTTGATGAATGATCATTTTAACATACAAGAAATCTGACACGAGTTTTCAGATAATAAGGAATAAATAA